CTCCATCAAACTCGACACAGACGTGGCCGCCACAGCACTGCTCGTTGGCTGTACAGCGTCGACCCTCGCACAGCTGATCCTCCAGCACCTCCTCCCCCAGCAGCGCCTCCATCAGCTGCTCCCGGGGTGACACCATACGCTGTGAACACCAACCATAGTTTACAACATGGTAAGTCACAGCAGCTGCAGCAACTCGCAACTTAATACACCAAGTAAAAAACAAAACGGAGTTTGCAATCCATTTTAGACCACAATAAGAAAGAAGTTTAGACCGCGGTAAGATATTTCAGACCGCCATAAAGACATTTTAGACCATATTAAGGTTTTTAACCCACCATTAAGATGTTTTAGACCACTATTAAGCACTAGTATCATCACAATTGCTGCCCTAACATCTCGTTTGATCATTATTACTCTCTTAATCACTTCTCTCTTATTTACAGATTCACAAAGAAAACGTGAAAACGAATTTTTAGAGGCTGAAAAAAATTGTAATTGGTTCTTTCTGAAATTACAGTATTTTTTCCCGTTTAAAATGCATTTTACCGAAGTAAAATATAGCAAAAGCGCCTAATTTTTTTAATCTGCATAAAGATATTGTGTGAAAGGAAAATGAAAACAGAAAAACGATTAGAAAATAATAATTCAATTTTAGGGGAGACGAAAGAAAATATTATGTGAGTAAATTTTGTTGGTCTCAAATCAACCGATTCGCAATTTTTCTTTCCTATTACCCAGATTTGTTCTCATTTTGCGATAATCTTATTTGTGTATTTTCTTGCTCTCATTGACTGTATTTTTTAGTTGAAACGCATAAAAACCAGAAAAATAAAGTCTTAATCACTACTTATATTTCTTTAAATACTGTCTTGAGTCTTCCAATTGTATCTGTGATCGTAATATTATCCAGCTCTTTAAGTCAATAAATTTTGCAGTATATTTAGGCTAATCTGTAGATAATACACTTATATACAATTTATAATCCAAAATTTTGAATATATTGCCCTATATCCATGCCGGCTCGTGGACTACCAGAGTGATCCACGGGTAACTATGCTGAGTCGTGGATTACCAGAGTGATCCACGGGTAACTATGCTGAGTCGTGGATTACCAGAGTGATCCACGGGTAACTATGCTGAGTCGTGGATTACCAGAGTGATCCACGGGTAACTATGCTGAGTCGTGGATTACCAGAGTGATCCACGGGTAACTATGCTGAGTCGTGGATTACCAGAGTGATCCACGGGTAACTAGCGGTCGTGATTACCC